ACCCAAAGATCACTGTGGCTGAGCTCCAGAGATGCAGTCGGGAGATGGGAGAAAGTTGTAGAAAGTCAACCATCACTGCAGCCCTCCACCAGTTGGGGCTTTATGGCAGAGTGGCCCGACGGAAGCCTCTCCTCAGTGCAAGACACATGAAAGCCCGCATGGAGTTTGCTAAAAAAACACCTGAAGGACTCCAAGATGGTGAGAAATAAGATTCTCTGGTCTGATGAGACCAAGATAGAACTTTTTGGCCTTAATTCTAAGCGGTATGTGTGGAGAAAACCAGGCACTGCTCATCACCTGTCCAATACAGTCCCAACAGTGAAGCATGGTGGTGGCAGCATCATGCTGTGGGGTTGTTTTTCAGCTGCAGGGACAGGACGACTGGTTGCATTCGAGGGAAAGATGAATGCGGCCAAGTACAGGGATATCCTGGATGAAAACCTTCTCCAGAGTGCTCAGGACCTCAGACTGGGCTGAAGGTTTACCTTCCAACAAGACAATGACCCTAAGCACACAGCTAAAATAACGAAGGAGTGGCTTCACAACAACTCTGTGGCTGTTCTTGAATGGCCCAGCCAGAGCCCTGACTTAAACCCAATTGAGCATCTCTGGAGAGACCTAAAAATGGCTGTCCACCAACGTTTACCATCCAACCTGACAGAACTGGAGTGGATCTGCAAGAGGGAATGGCAGAGGATCCCCAAATCCATGTGTGAAAAACTTGTTGCATCTTTCCCAAAGACTCATGGCTGTATTAGATCAAAAGGGTGCTTCTACTAAATACTGAGCAAAGGGTCTGAATATTTAGGACCATGTGATATTTCAGTTTTTCTTTTTTGATAAATCTGCAAAAATGTCAACAATTCTGTGTTTTTCTGTCAATATGGGGTGCTGTGTGTACATTAATGAGGAAAAAAAATGAACTTAAATGATTTTAGCAAATGGCTGCAATATAACAAAGAGTGAAAAATTTAAGGGGGTCTGAATACTTTCCGTACCCACTGTATATATGACATAAGAGGTGAATTTTGTGTTCAAGTCATCTGTGGAAAGTGTTTATGTGTCTTACCAGCATGCCCAGCTGTGTAGCCAGAACGGCCACCTGTGCCTCCACCTCTGGCTCTTTTTCAGCATCCCTGAGAGCACGAGCGGCCCGTGCGTTTCCCATGTTCCCCAGACACACGCGCGCCACGTCCAGACGACGACTCTTTACACACATCCGTGCCATGTTCTCCCACACCGCCTCACTGCAGATGAAGATACACATACACACAACACATTCAGTTCACTTCAAAAGCCAGAGATGTCTCAAAGAAGGCCAAAAGACAGAAAAACTTGAAAGAAGAACGTTTTTAAAAATCATCCTAACAGTCTTAAAACAGGTTCCACAGTGGCTCTGTTGAGTTGCTATATGGTTCTTTGGTAACGTCTTTGAAGTTTCAGGTTCTTTAAATCAACAGACTGTTCTTTTAAAGCAAAAGTATATAGAAGCTTTTCTAAACAACTAGAGACTTTTTGACTTCCATGACTTTTCTAATATTTTGTGATTATTTCATGAGATTCAGCTGCTAATGATTTAACCGATTTGTAAACTCAGCAGGAAGATCCATGATCTCAAGAGTCAGACATTATTATGGCTCACAAGTAATATTTACTCTACATAAGCTCTGCTGTAAAATATTCTAATGGCGAGCATAACATTAAAGATGTATATTCCCATAGAAATGAGTCATTCTTAGTAAAACTTTACAATGTTACATTTGTTAACTACATTAGTTAACATCAACTAATAATGAGAAATACTGTACTTCTAAATCATTTTCTAATCTTAATATTAATTTTTTAATTTACTAATACATTATTAAAATCAAAATGAAAGCAATGAAACATTGTTTTTATGAGCTAAAATGAACAAAGATTAATAAATACTGTTACAAATGTACTGATCATTTTTAGTGTAAGTTATTGCATCAGCTAACGATAACTAATGGGATCTTATTGTAAAGTGATACAGAATTCTTTATTGGGAAGATTGTACTGTATTTAATTCCATTATAAACATTCTCTCATATTTACGTTTTTTAAATTCTTTCTTCTTTTTTTTTTTCAGATTTCTTTTTTTGGCAATATTCCAATTACATTTTTCTTGTCTTCTTTCTTAAAACTTCAGATCTGCACCATTTTAAAGTGTGGAAAAGTGCACTGAAACATAACATGAAGTAATAAATCTGTCTTTAAAGGGTGAGAGGATGTTTTAAAGATGATATTTGTGGAAACTCTTAGCAGCTGCTCTTTGAGTGTTTCTGCTGTTTCTCCCTCCATTCCGCCTCATGAGCGAACCGTCCCAGCTATGCATGGAATGACCCCATCAACACCCAACACTCTCTCGCCCACATTCCCTCTCTCCCACTCGCTTGGCCCTTCGCGCCCTCCCTGCTTTTTTCATCCACTCCCATCTGGTCTTTATTTATCCAAAATCCCCCCGTTCTCTCATTTTTTCGCTCCGTTCGGCTTTTAGTAGATACAGATGTGGGCTGTTTATTAGAGCTAAGCAACAGGAAATTCCCTGAATCTTTGGGGGCCCAGAACTGGAAAAGAAACAACAGAAAAGTAGAAAGAGAATTATGATTTCCCCTTTTCCTTTTTTGGTTAAAACATGGAAATAAAGTACATTTTTACATTGTTCTGGGTGGTTGCAAGTCAAAAAACCCTCGAATCTCTATGATCTTCTAGTCTCTTGGCTCCTTCAGTGTGCATCTGTGGGATTTTGTCACTTGTTTTATAGTCCAGTGAGTGACACAAAGCACACCTCTCCTCAACAACATACATGATTTGAGGAACCATTTATGTCTGGAGCAGAAACATTGCAGGACGATATACAGGATTCTTAAAAATAAAGGTTCCTAAAGGTGGTTTTCGCAATAATGCCATAGAAAAACCATTCCTCAAAGAACCTTTTAAAGAACAATTCTTAAAAGAACCATGTTTATTAGTGTGAAGAACATTTTCGTAGACTCTAAAGAACCTTTTTCCACTTTTGCACTCTTAAAAGTAAAGGTTTCAAAGGGGGTTTGGCAGTGATGTCATAGAAGAACCAATTTTTGGTTCCTTAAAGAACATTTCAGTAAACAGATCTTCACCATTTTTTCTTAGTCTGAAGAACACTTTAAACAACTTTTTATGCAATGGAAAGGTTCCATGGATGTTAAAGGTTCTTCATGGAACCGTAGATGCCAAAAAAGAACATGCTTAAAAATAAAGGTTCTTTTATGGCATTGACGGTTCCATGAAGAACCTTTAATCTCCAATTAATAATCTCCAAGAACAATTCATTCCATAAAAGGTTTTTTATAGTGGAAAGAGGTTCTTCAGATTATTAAAATGTTCTTCACATTAAGAAAAAAATGGTTCTTTTAAGAACTGGTCACTGAAAGGTTCTTTGGGGAACCCAAAATGGCATCTTTGTGAAAACGGCCTTTTGGAATTTTTAAGAGTGAACCTTTTTAAGAATGTGTAGAATGGAAAGATTCCATGGATGTTAAAGGTTCTTCACAGAACCATCAATGCTAATCAAGCACCTTTATTTTTAAGAGAGAAACTGAACTTTAATATTTAAGTGTAACTAGACCAAAGATATCTATGATATTTCATCTCCTGCTCCATCAATAACCAGCTCACTAAGTCAAAGAGAGAAAGAGGACGGGTGTTGCATTCTGTTCTGTCTACTTTCCTTCCAGGAAACACATCCTGTAGCTGGAGTAACGTGCTTGTCACTGACCAAGAGAGAGAGAACTCCTACTCTCTCATCCCAGTCCTTCTGAGCTTTTCAGGGATAAAGCACACACATGCTCGCACGTGAACATGGGAAACTGGTTAGGACGAGTAATCTGAGATAAACGAGTGTGGGAAAGAACGAGAAACACAAGAGACCGCATCACGCAGACATTCCTCAGCAGGGAGACGAGGAGAAAAAAACCAGCCAGCGCACATCTGGAAGAAAAAGGGGGAGGAACAGACGGGCAGAGAGCAGCAGAAGAACGGAGCGATTTAAAGAAAGCGTGCGTGTTTATGTGATGGCCTTGGAGGTCCAGCGTCCAGCCTTACGAGCAGCAGTGACCCCCGACTCCGAGGAAGAGGGTTAGAGACTCCCGTCAAGACTCAAGAATGAGTGGCGATGTCCTCTAGCTAACCTCTCACAGAATTCATGCCGCTCTGTGTTTCTGCATAGCGTGCCCGTGGATGTTTCAGGAATTCGGGCGCTCCGGAGGGTGTATGGCCGTGCGCAGGCTGGTGGTGGTGGCGGCGGCGGTGGCCCTGCTTTCTCTGGTGCTCAACAACTTGGCCACGTTCAGCTCCAGCTGGGTGCTGCAGGTGCTGGAGGACGGACGGCGGCGGAGCGTGGGGCTCTGGAGAGCGTGTGAGGACACACACGCTCATGAGCCCACAGCCTGCCAGAGACTCAGCTGGGGATCGGAGCTCGCGGGGTATCAGGAGTCGCGCAGCACTGTCAAACGTGAGTCTCCGGTGAATAGATGCTAATACAGCCTCTGCAGTAAACTAATTTCTGCACATTTTAATGCACTGATACCCTTTACTTAACAGAGAAAGATAACACTTTTATTAACATATATTTTTAACAGATCAGTAGGTAATGTACAATCAAACAGAAATATTGCTAAACATATAAATAAATCATTTCAGAGCTAAGCATGATTTTGTGAGCATATCTAAGCATGTCTTACTGAAAGTTATTGTGTTGTAGAAAAGCACTGAAAATGTGACTAACAATTATATAATGTTTAGTAAAAATACACTGAAATACTTAGAAATGTCATACAACTTTGATTAATATATTTTTTATATATATGTTTGATGTTATATATTTACATACACATGTAATAATAAAAATAAAAGTATATAAATAATATATAAATAAAATATAAAATATCTATAATATATGAAATGTAATAAAAAAGGACTCCGACTCCGAGGAAGAGGGTTAGAGACTCCCGTCAAGACTCAAGAATGAGTGGCGATGTCCTCTAGCTAACCTCTCACAGAATTCATGCCGCTCTGTGTTTCTGCATAGCGTGCCCGTGGATGTTTCAGGAATTCGGGCGCTCCGGAGGGTGTATGGCCGTGCGCAGGCTGGTGGTGGTGGCGGCGGCGGTGGCCCTGCTTTCTCTGGTGCTCAACAACTTGGCCACGTTCAGCTCCAGCTGGGTGCTGCAGGTGCTGGAGGACGGACGGCGGCGGAGCGTGGGGCTCTGGAGAGCGTGTGAGGACACACACGCTCATGAGCCCACAGCCTGCCAGAGACTCAGCTGGGGATCGGAGCTCGCGGGGTATCAGGAGTCACGCAGCACTGTCAAACGTGAGTCTCCGTCATACAACTGCGTGTGAGGGAATAGACAATAATTAAATTATATGTTTTCTACACGTTTTAATGCTCTGATACCCTTTATATTACTGAATTTAACAGAAAAAGATAACATTTTAATATTATTATATTAATATATTGTCATTTTAAACGGATCATTAGGTAATTAATTCAAAAATAAATGTTGCTAAACATCAATTCATATATTTTATTTATATATATTTATAATTTCAATGCTAAGCGTGATTTTGTAAGCATAATATCTAAGGCCGTCTTATTGAAAGTCATTTTATGAAGTTAAAAAACTCTGAAAATGTGACTAACAAGTAGATAAAGTTTAGTAGATAATTTGTGAGTACACTGGAATACTTGAAATGTCATTAAACTCTGATTAATATATTTTTATAATTATGTATTGTAAATATATATTTCATATTTCAGTGTACATCAACAAAGGATTTGCTAATATAATGTTTCATATAAGGTTACTTTCAATAAAACAACATACAGAAAATGTTTTTAAAGCGTTAACCCCCCCATAATAAATTTAGAATTAAATAAATAAATAAAAAATAATACATAAATAAATAAATTGTTTATAACTAAATAAATTTACTAATAAAAATAAAATTAAATACATTTAATATGTATTTAATTATTTTTTTTATTATTTATTATAATCTAATTATAATTATAATTAAAAAAAAAATTTCACTGCAGGAGCCTGTGATTACTCAGAAAAAAAGAAAAGAAAAAAAAAAAAGTGTCCAAATTTTTAACAACTTTTAATGAACCGCTTCCATATGAATTGGTCTTAAAATCTTATATAATTTTTTTTTCTTTAAATCTGAGTTCTAGACATCTAGAGCTCATTTTATTTAATTTGGCATCAACTTAATGTCTGGCTAGTATTAAACCACGGCAACTATCACTAGAAGAAAAAGCGAGCAGAGATTTGCTGGCTTGTATCATGCAGCCTGGCACGTCTGTCCATCTATCCTGATTTAGAAATAGGAAACGGATGGACACAGTGAAGGATTGTCTTTCAGGAAGTGACACCCACATTGGCACAGTTGTGTCTTATGGACATCTGCAGCTGGATCTTCCTTACAATGATTCAGATCCTCTACCTAAAAACACTCACACACACACACACACTCACACTCCTCTGCTCATACATGTATATATGAACCAAATGAATCATTGAATCATTTACGAACCATTTGAGAGCTAATATTTCTGTTGTTCTGATTGCAGTTCAGTTTGACATGATGCGGGCATGTAACCTGATGGCTACGGTGGCTCTGACCGTGGGTCAGCTAATCTTCCTGTTTGGGTTACTGGAGATAAGCCACATTACCCAGGATTCTCAGTGGTGGGAGGAAGCCATCGCTGCCCTGTTCCAGTTAGCCAGTGAGTGTTCAAACCCGCTTCTACAGTCGCTAACAAACACTAACAGTCCCTTTGAGGAGCTTCAATAAGCCAGACACAAATACCACACACCTTTCTTCAAACAACACATTAATTCTTCAATATCAAGCCGTCTGTCCTCAGAGATACGGCCTCTATTGTCCCATGTCTGTTGTTCTGCATTTTGGGAAAGGAAAGATGGAGCTTTGAGGATCTATAACAGAACAAACATCAACAAAGCACAGCGGCCTGAAGCTACACACCATTCAACAGGAAACAACAGAGTCCTGGCCAGAGGCCCGCTCACAAATTAAATCCGCTCCCATTGGGACGTACGCAGGCCTGTCTCTTCAAAACTCGCTGTTGATGTCCCATGAAAGTGTGCTGGCTGTGATGTTATCTTGTTTTATTGTGCGTGCTTTCTGCATACTTATACTATCTGCATAGCTGTTTAAATGCTAACTTGCATACTTACATAAACACATGCTCGTTGATGGACTATTAGCGAATGAACAGTTGATGCGAGTGTATGAGTGTTGTAGGTAAAAATCTGCAAATTGATGGTGGTAGTTATTATAGAAACACCCAGAACATCCTAGCAACATTCCAGAACACCCAGGTAAAGTCCTAGCCACCACTCAGAACACCCTAGCAACGACCTAAAACACCTTACCAACCACCTAGCAACTGCCTAGAACATTCTAACAACCACCAAGAACACCCTAACAATATCCTGGCAACTACCTACAACACCCTAGCAACCACCTAACAATGCCCTTACATCCACTTAGAATACTACAGCAAACACCCAGAACACCCTAGCAACGACCTAACACCTTACCAACCACCAAGCAACTGCCCAGAACATTCTAACAACCATCAAGAACACTCTAGCAACATCCTAGAAACCACCCTGAACACCCTAGCAACCACCTAGTGACCTCCACCTTAAAGCAGTCGCACACCAGACGAGAAGCGCAGCGCAGCATCGCGTCGCATCGCACCACGCCACTTCTTTAAAATTCAAACACATTATTTTCTATGAGTGTACACACACCAGCGGCGCCGTTCGGCGTCCAGCTACGTCGTGTTGTACTTGTACGAATTGTTTTAGACGCGGCGCTTCTCGTCCGGTGTGCGACCACCTTTAGAAAACCCTCGCAAAACCCTAGCAACCACTTTAAATAGCAACTGCCCAGAACACCATAACTAAAACACCCTAACAGCCACCTAGCATCTACTCAGAACCCCCAGCAACCACCTGTGAAAACCCTAACAAAGCCCTAGCAACCACTTTCAATTGCATAGCAATTGGCCACAACACCATAACAATTACCTAAAACACCTTAGCAACCACCTAGAACACTCTAGCAATGCCATAGCAACCACCCAGATCACCCCCAGCAACCACCTAGCAATGCCCTAGCAACCATTCAGAATACAATAGCAATCACCCAGAATACCCTAACAACCACCTACAACATAGGGCTGCACAATTTGGGGAATAATCTTTTTGCAATTAATTGTGACTGTGATTTAAAATGCAGTTTTTAAAAACTTTTAAGTTTGCTGTGCTTGTTTGTAGGGCTGCACAATTTGGCCAAATATTTTGTGATTATATATCACAAATTATTATTATTAATAATACTATATAAAATATTACAACATTAAAAATATTACTTTTGTAATATTTCACTGTAAATTAAAATCCAGTATTTAAGAAAAATAGAATAATTTTATTTTACAGCACTATTTATGTCTTAATTTATTCATTTTCAAATGTCAAACCTTCAAGCTTTTGATAATCAGAATAAACAATATTGCGATTTCAGCTTTATTTCAATTAATTGTGCTGTCCTAGCAACCACTTAGCAACCACCCAGAACACTCCAGTGTCATAGTGTCCACTCAAATTTTATTCATTCACTTTGATCACAGCAGTTGTTTTCTTAACCTCAGGTCATTTTTTTAATAGACACCCTGATCATTTCCTGTGTACAATTATGAGCTCTAGATAGTCTTGTTTGTTTCAGAAAAAGTTATTTTCAGTTTCATCAAAGCCGTCCATGGCTGTGCTTGCACTACTATGGTGGTCTGTTACAAGTGAAGTATATCAGTCCAGCTAATAGTGCAAGATGTGTGCGTCGTTTTAAGTGTGACAATAGTTATATTTAGCTAACGGGGGTCCAGAGCACCAGCGGCAGCCACGCAGCTTCAGAGAGCAACAGTCAGGCGCCAGGATATCCCTTCTCAGGACGAGGAAGTGTCTGTAACTACCTGTTATGCAAACCCAGAGCCGCAGAGGAAAGACGGGGAGGGGGAGTGTGACAGTACGGAGGGGGCCAACGAGTGTCAGAGTTATTAGACATGGACTTCAACGGGAATTGATGATATTTTAAGAACCGCAGAGCAATCGGGAAGAAAGAGAAGTGGATGTATGTGACACCACAGAGGAGCATGTTTCATCGGGACGGGTCTAGAATCTCCCACAATGTGTGTGTGTGTGTGTGTCATGGGTGGAGGAAACAAGTGTCCTGATTAACTGTCCCCGCAATACTGCATCTGTTTACACAATCTCTAGGGACAGACTATGTCTGACAAAATGAAAACAATTGTCCTCATAAAATGTCATATTTGATTAATATATTTTTTATATATATGTTTGATGTTATATATTTACATACACATGTAATAATAAAAATAAAAGTATATAAATAATATATAAATAAAATATAAAATATCTATAATATATGAAATGTAATAAAAAAGGACTCCGACTCCGAGGAAGAGGGTTAGAGACTCCCGTCAAGACTCAAGAATGAGTGGCGATGTCCTCTAGCTAACCTCTCACAGTGTTCATGCCGCTCTGTGTTTCTGCGTAGCGTGCCCGTGGAATATACATATTGCAATTTAATATTACAATTTAATACTGTGTGTGTGTGTGTGTGTATGTGTATATAAATATAATATAACATTTTATTATTTGGTCTTACTATTCTTAATATAGAAATAGTTTTATTTATTGCAATTTATTTAATGTATTACTCTTTCTGGAAATTTTGCTTCATTAAAAATATATAATTAAATAAATGAATTAAAACGAGCAGAAATCTGTCAAGCTTAAGATCACTGCAAGAATTTGTGATTACTCAGAAAATCAACAAGACAAAAAGTGTCAATTTTTACAAATTTCAATTAACTGCTTTCATATGAATTGGCAGCCTTAAAATCTTATGTAAAATATTTTTTTCTTTAAATTTGAGATCTAGATGTCTAGAGCACATTTTTATTTAATTTGTCATTAACTTGATGTCTGGTTAGTATTAAACCATGGCAACTATCACTGGATGAACAAGCAAGCAGAGATGTGCTGGCCTGTATCATGCAGCCTGGCACGTCTGTCCATCTACCCTGATTTAGAAATAGGAAACGGATGGACACAGTGAAGGATTGTCTTTCAGGAAGTGACACCCACATTGGCACAGTTGTGTCTTATAGAGATCTGCAGCTGGATCTTCCTTACAATGATTCAGATCCTCTACCTACACACACACACACACTCCTCTGCTCATACATGTACAGTCAGGAAGGGGGCCAACACTTTTTCACACCACTGTATATGTGAATCAAATACGAATCATTTGAGCATTCATATTTCTTTTTTTCTGATTGCAGTTCAGTTTGACATGATGCGGGCATGTAACCTGATGGCAACGGTGGCTCTGACTGTGGGTCAGCTAATCTTCCTGTTTGGGTTACTGGAGATAAGCCACATTACCCAGGATTCTCAGTGGTGGGAGGAAGCCATCGCTGCCCTGTTCCAGTTAGCCAGTGAGTGTTCAAACCCGCTTCTACAGTCGCTAACAAACACTAACAGCCCCTTTGAGGAGCGTCAAGAAGCCTGACACAAACACCACACACCCTCCTTCAAACAACACATTAATTCTTCAATATCAAACCGTCTGTCCTCAGAGATACGGCTTCTATTGTCCTGTGTTTGTTGTTCTGCATTTTGGGAAAGGAAAGATGGAGCTTTGAGGATCTATAACAGAACAAACATCAACAAAGCACAGCGGCCTGAAGCTACACACAATTCAACAGGAAACAACAGAGTCCTGGCCAGAGGCCCGCTCACAAATTAAATCCACTCCCATTTGGGACGTACGCAGGCCTGTCTCTTCAAAACTCGCTGTTGACGTCCCATGAAAGTGTGCTAGCTGTGATGTTATCTTGTTTTATTGTGCGTGCTTGCTGCATAACTATACTATCTGCATAGATGTTTAAATGCTAACTTGCATACTCACATAAACACATGCTCGTTGATGGACTATTAGTGAATGGACAGTTGGTGTGGTAGTTATTATAGAAACCCCCAGAACATCCTAGCAACACCCTTAGCAACTGCCCAGAATACCCTAGCAATGACCTAAAACACCTTACCAACCACCAAGAACATTCTAACAACTAGGGGTGGGCGATATACCAGCAGACACGATTAACCAGTAGAAATTTGTCAACCGGTAGAGATTTTGGACTATCGTCTTTATCGTGCTTATGCACTGCGGTGCGTATGGTAATGAAAATGTATTGTTTGCACACATTTTTAAGCATTTTAAAAACAAATGTTTTTAAGCCTTTTAAATGCAAACAACAGCGCTATATGCACGTGCAGTCTGTGAGACTGTTTCTGAGTGCGGTCTGAGCGCATATGAATCCGCTGCTCAGAGCGCGCAAGTATTTTTGTTGCTTTATTGGCCTTGAACGGTTAAATACACATACATATATTTGTGAAAATGCCCGTCTTTGCAAGTATCCTTGTAAACACAGTCATTTAGGTCTTAAGTGAAAGTAAACAGCTGAGAAAGAAACGCATGTGTAACAGTATATTGATCCGGGCAGTTCTTAAAGTGACAGCAGTCTAATATTCCTGCTGTCTGTCATTCATGTTAATCAAACAACAGTGAGAGAAAATCTAAATCACTTCTGTAACTTTAATAATGAGA